AAAGCTCTTCTTTTGTAAGCACTATCTAAATGGGCAGAGACAGAAAGCCAAATTTAGATTCTAAGCTTTGATCCATGAAAGCAAATAAGGTATTTTATAGATACAGGAAAAAATTTAACAGCAGTCAATTGGTTGAAAATATTCAATTACACATTAGCCATGTAATTATAACACGACCAGGATTAACATGAACAAGTATTTCATCCTGAAAATGAACAAGTAACCAAGCAGCAATGAGCCACAACTGAGGCCTAAAAGGTCAAACACAGCAAATTTAACTATGAAGTTAGTTGGAAGTCTCTGAATGCTACAAGATTATATTGAAAGTATAACTGAGATAAAAATCAGATGTTTGGGCAAAGTATAAAACACTTCACTGAATTTTCCCCTTCCTTGACCTGGCTGAGTAGGTCAGTTGGTTAGAGTGGGTTCTCCTGATGTGGCAAGGTTTTGGGTTCAATCCCCAGTCAGGACACATACTAGAATCAACCAATGAATGTATAAATAGGTAGAACAACAATTTTTTTTTTTTTTTAAGAATTTTTTCCCTTCCCACTAATAGGGCCAAGGGTATAGTTGTAAGAATAGATCTTACGTAATGGAGTAAATTGGTTAATAAAATATTCACTTTCTTTGCTCTGATAGCAAAACCAGATCAAGAACACAAAATTTCCAGTTAAAAAATGAAAATCATTTGATTTCACTAACTTCAAAACATTTTTGGCAAAGGAGGAATAAATAGTTAGAAAACAAAAACCTTACTATAACATTGACAATGTAGTATGAGAAAAATATTTAGATAAACCTATAATTTATAGGTAAATCTAGTATGTGAATAAAGATACCCCTTATAATTTCTCTTAATATTTCCCCTATTTGGCTTATAATATTCTTAAACGGTTAAGTTATATAAGGTGCAAATATCTAATCATGTGTTTAAAATGCTTATTTCCTCCACTCAAAGCAGATTCTCATGGGTAATGACAGGCTTCCTTATTTTTTATCCCCTGGGACTAGACTACCGTGCCAGAATAAAACCTCAGTGAGTATTGACTAAATGATTATCCCCTATGTCTGTGGTTCTCAACTAGAGGGAGGCTCCAAAAATGCCTTTAGGGAGTATTTCAAAATTATGCCTGTTTCCACAGAAAAATAACTCAGTGTAAGTCTGATAAGACCCTGTCTGTGTTCCTGTATACTTCAAAAACTCTGCTAAGCATTCTGACATATAAATATATGTCAAAACCCACATACACAATAACATACATAATAAAATACAAGAGTCAATCTAGGATTTGAGAATTTAATCTGAAACATTTTTATCTCAGTATCAGAACCTACTCTCTTCTTTAATAGAAAGAAATTATAGTAAAATGCTTTGGGAAATTCTTAAGAATTGACTATCTTAGATAACCAATGGCACTTGAACCCATGAGTTAACACATAAATTAGCAATAGGCATATCTGATAAGTTTTTCCCCTAGTGCTAGCAAGAATTTTTAACTGTATATTTGTACAAATAACAAAACCAGAATTAACACTGCAGGTGAACATGATGAAACCAAAGCACAAGGTGTTAAGAGTAAGTCACTCTTTTTCAAATTAAACAAATATGGAGGTCATTATATGATCAAGCATCCTTCAGTTACACAACTGTCCTACACATTAAATTAGCTAGCTATAGACAAGTCTTGAGGATCTTAAAAGAAACACATGCAAGACAGTGTATCCATCCTCAAGGCTCACTGGGGACAAGTTCAATATATCCCTAAGTGATCAGTCAGGCACATGGTAGTTCTCATAGTCCTTGAAGAGAGAGGCCAACAAAGTATTCACTCATACTTTCAAAAACTCATGTTAGCTAAATATTTATTTCACAGTATTTAAAGTTAAATCCCATTTCAATGCTAAATGAAAGAAAAAGGGCTTACTTCAGGTAGCCAAGACTAACATGACACTCATCTAACTATAAAACAGAAAATGAAATGGTACAAAACACCAGTACAGCATGGAGTTTAAGAGTGTAAATTGATTTGTATCTCGTTACTTACTAGCTGTGTGACTATAATAACTTAACCTCTCTGCCTGTTTCCTTAAGTATAAAATGGAATGGTAAGAGCATCTATCTCTCAGGGTTGTTGTAAAGATTAAATTAGTTGATACAACAGGTTTAGAAACAGTGTTGAGTACACAGTAGATACTATGACCAAGCTATTAGTAGTAGCAGAATGATATATGAAGAAAACTTTTTTGAATACCAAGAACTTAAAGAATGACATGACAATGTAGTGGGGTTCAGAGGACACCCTGTGGAGCCAGATTGCCTGCCTAGGCTCTAATCCCAACTCTGATATTACCCTGGGTGTTTTTTCTTTAACATGTGTCTCAAAGATTTCTAATCTCAAAATGGGGACAATAATTGTACCTGCTTTCTTGGGTTGTTATAAGATTACATGAGTTAACACAAGTGTTTCACATTTCTGAAACACTGTGAAGACTCAAAGCATGAGCTATGTTTGCTGGCTTGGTTCACATTATATTTTATGCCAAGTTCTCTAAAATATCCCCAAAACACATGCACTGTAGTTATTTTGTTTAATAGTAGTAGTAAAATCAGTATTGCTCCCAAATACCACCAATCAACTTGGAGTTTCTACTTTTGATTATTGTTGTTTAATAGTTTCATTAGACCATACTACAGCTGGTCTAAAATAAAGAGTACAGCAAAAACCAAACAAGGTTTTCTGATAAGACTGCTTGGTCTAAGAAATATTTGAACAGAAAATTGTAAAATCATAAGTTTTAGGACAAAATGAATTCAAAGGCTTAATCAAATGAACTATCAATGGTTAGATAGTCGGACAATAAGCACTTCATTAAAATAATAAGATATATCTTAGTATTTGGATTTGGAGGGTTTCAAAGAAGAATTCAAAATAAATAGGTACATGACACAAGAAATACCATACAAACATCAATGCCTACCTGACCTCATTATTTCTAGAACAAAGGTACCCTCTCTCAACAATTGTCCACTTCTAAAATTCTGCTTGGAACTGAATTTCTTTTTAAAGTTTCACTGTGTAATTCTGACAGCAACTGCTGACAACCAAAGCACACGCAAGTCAAAACTTTTCTATGAGTTAAAAAAGTTTTTCCCATTTGTTAGGTGTCATTATATCAAGATTCTATACACACCTTCAAAATATTTACATGACAAGCAAGTACAAAGAGTACTAGGCTAAAAACAGTTCTTTAATAAAAGTTTTGAAGGTTAAAGTGATAATAAAATAGCAGTAATAATAATTTGAGTGTCATGTGCCAGGGGCCCGTTCAAAGCCACACATTAATCTATTTAATACAGTACTAAAATCAAAACAAACAAAAACAAAATCTAGAAATCTAAAATTTGTTTTGCTCACTGTTGCATCCCGTGTCTAGAACAGTGCCTGCTACAGACTAAGCACTCAAATATCTATTGTTCATATTAAACAAATATTCATTTTTATAGAAGCACACAACTTGCCCAGCCCTAGAATTCTAACTGGAGCATTTCTGCTCCGGAGTTCACACTCTTAACCATTACAATGCCTCTCTAGAGCTTTTAAATCATTAAAAGTGGTGTCACAGCAGCTGGTTATCACCTGCAAAAGAAAAAAAATCAATGAGACCCTCCTTTAAAATGTTCTGTTCCACATGTATAAAAAGCTATGGACTTGAAATTATGCCACATCTCAGTGGCCTGAACACCCATGGATTAAAAAGGTTTTGATTTGTACTAAATATTGTGTTTTTTGTATTTAACTATTCTGTAAACTATAACTATACTTCTCCAAAGTGCTGCTGGCCTTCAAAGGGGTCACAGAAAAGGGTGTTTAAATAATCCTTTCAGCCTTAATTCCTAGGTTTTCTTCTTCTTTTCCATTTTCTCAAATATATATTTAAGTTTATATTTACATAAACCAACAATAACAATGCAATGATGACCTAAAACAAAATCAAATCATCAATACATGGAGTGAAGATCTAAAACTTCATCGTCAAATACAGCAGTTTTTTCAAATAAACACCAAAGTGACACGTAAATGTAAAATTAATCAGTTCCAGGCCTATTTTAGTAAAGCCAAGAACTTGCATTTCCTTCCATGCACAACCCTTTTTAAAAGATTCTAACCTACAACCTCCCCTGTCTCCTAGTTTTAGTAAGGCTGAATTTATTCCATGACATTTTTTTCAAGTTAGCTGTAAATACTCCACCCTCCTGGATTGTGCAAGAACCAAACACATCACACATACACAAGTTACAAAAAAGGGAAATACGGTCTGAGAGTTTGACGATAGCTAAGTATTGAGCAGGAGGTCTCAGCGCAGTGTACAACCCAATGTGAAAGTTAACATTAAACAAATAATACTATTTCATATTTTTACAAAAGGAGATGCCGGAAAAAGCCTGAACCAGTTAAAGCAGCCGCCATCTTAAAATGCGGGATAGAAGTTAGAGCAAGAAAATGAGACTAAACCACCGGAGGTGGAGGTTCCGCTCAACCAGAGGCTTGAAACCCCCCCCCCCCCCTTTTCAACAACTGAGACCGACGGGTTAGTGTCAAACGTGAAGCAGAATCAATCTTCCCACAGGCTGCTCCTAAATGGGCTGAGGCAAAAATAGGTCCAGCTAAGCTTAGCCTCCGGCCGTCGCCCCCTTCGCCCCCTCCCCCAGCCCAGGGAAAGCAAGCTCCCAGGAGCGGTTCCATCAGCTCCCGGTGCGCTTCCGATAAATAGCTTCGGGGAAAAACCTGAGCCACGGGAAGTGGCAACACTGTGTCAGCCCTCGCCTCCCAGCACCTCTGCTTCTGGTGTAACCAGCCCGAGCGATGAGGAGTTTCTGAGCAGACCCGCTCACTGCCCCTCCGGGCTCAGACAATCCACCCCTAATAAAGTCCAGGGCCCGCGGATCCCTGCCACCTTCCTCCGCCCCGGAAAGCCCAGAACCTTGATCTTACAATTAAGTTTTCAAGCGCTGGGAACAGGAAGCGCCATGACATCTGCGGGAGCCCCACTTGCCACGAGTGCTCTGCTCAATGGCTTTAAACCTCTCCTCCTCCACGAAGTCTGTCCGCGTTCCCCATCCCCCAAAGGACGGAAGACCCAGGCAGGCTACTTCCAACATGCCGCGTCCCCGTCGTCGCCCCCCCCCCCCCCCCCCCCCGCCCCCGGTCCCCACGGCCCCGTCCCGGCCGGCCCCGGGGTTACCTTATTAATCCGTTTCAGCGCCATAGTCTGTGCTTTGCGTCTGGCTCTTCACTATCTCGGTGTGTGCTCGGAGGTCCGGCCGAAACTCTTGATGACCCCGGCGGCAGGCAAGGCTGGTCTCTTCGTCTCACACCGGCTCTGCCAGACACAGGCGCCTTTTGCAAAAACGGAGCAGATCAGCACTCGCACAGGCCCCGGAGAGACCCCGATGAGTCCAGGTCCCCCAAAACCGCCGGGATCCGGGGAGGGTGGGGTGGGGTGGCGCGGCCGAGCCACCAACAGCCTCTATGCCGTGCTCCGGGCCGAAGAGGGGGCGAAGGGGGCCGGGGAGGAGCGGAGGGGAGGCCACAAGTCGGACGTCCCGGCCTCTCGGAAGGAAGAGACCGGGTGGGAGAGGAAGAGGCGTAGGAGAAAGGGGTGGGTGCGGGGCAGGGTCCGGCGCCCAGCAGAGGAGGAGCCGGGGCCTAGTCGGCGCTGCGCCGGCGTCACTGGGGCAAAGAAAGGCCGGGGGAGGGGGGACGGGGAGGCTCCGGGCCGGCGCCGGGCTCCCCTCGGCTCCCACTCCGAGGCGCGGCCGGGGAGGGGAAGGGAACCAAGGAGAGGGGCCAGATGTGCGCGGCTGTCCCCGCAGCCACAGCTCTTGTGTGTCGCCCCTGACGCCACCGTACACTCCGCCTTCCAGCGCGCTCCCGCGCCCAGCCCCCGCCACCACGCGCCCGGGCAGCCCCAGAGGCTCCGGCGGCGGCGCGAGGACGCGCCCATTCCCCCTCCCCCTGAAGCAGGAGCGGCCCCGGCTCCTCCGCGCTCCCCACCCTACCCCACCCAGCAGGCTGGCCCCTCGGGCCGCCCGGGGCCTGCGTCTCCCCTCTTCCCCGGCCGGCCAGGGAGCCGGCCCCCCTCCCCAGCCCCCGAGCCGTCCACACCCACGCGTACTGAGGGGCCGGGGCCTCCCTCCGGCTGCGGCCTCGGCCTCCTCCCCGCGCGGAAGCTGGGTGCCTCCCCGGCCCTACGGGGCTCACGCGCACGACACAGCCACAAGATGTCCGCTCTGACGGAACTACTGCCAGCTGCCACGCTCCGCCCCTCCCCCCGCCGGCCTCTTCACCGCCGCGGATCCGTCCGCCAACGCCGCTGTCGCGAGCGCCGGGCGCGTCTAAGGGTGCGGGGAGACAGTTTGCGTCCCACGTCTGGGGCCAAGGGTCTGCGCTACCCACTTTTCCTCCTTTACACAGAACAGCACCTTCTTACAAAACTGATCGGAGGTTGGACCGGGAGGGCAGGGGCCGGAGGCGGGTCATGGGCTGGGGAGGGGCGGGGGGGAAGGGTAGGGGGGCGGCGGAAACCCTGAGACTCAGAGAAGCATCGAGAACCGGAAGGAGTCCATAGCAGGAGGGTAGAGGAAACGGCAGCTGCGCCGTAGAACCCCACGCCCCTCCCAGCAGCGTCCCCCAGTTTTTCTCACTTGGTCTGAAGGCGGTTCTCGCGATAACCTCGTGGCTGCTTTCCCGGAGCTGGAGCTCTGCAATGACTTAAGGGCAGTTTTGTGCACTCTTCCGGATGTGGGCCCGCCCCCAAACCCACAAACTCTCGCGAGACTCACTAGGCACCGGTTGGCGCTGGGGCGGGCCGCGGCCGGGAAGCACCGCCCCTGAATGCTTGTGCTGGTGGGAGGGAGAGGAAATGGAATTCCCCGGCCTGGTCAGGGCGCGCGCCGACACAGCCCTCTCACGCGCCCAATCAGGAATGTGCGGTGGGAGGCGCCGAGGACTAATTGCGAGATACTTGTAGTCGGGCTTGACCCGGGCTTGTGAAGTTGGCGTTGGAACAGGTGAGAGCTCTTGACTCTCCTGCGGGTCTGACCCGGTTGACCATTGGGCGGAGGCGCAGCCCAGCGTGGGAATCGTAATTTAAAACAGAACCTAGCGGGCCGCTGATCGGCGCTCCCATCAGCCGAAATCTAATGTATTTCTGACCTGGGAGGATCGATATACTGGGAAGAGCAGACCCATAGAGACCTGTTCCCATAACTTGAGCAGCCTAGGAGTCAAGCGCAGCTGTGAATTTAGTAGATGGGGGAAGGGGGGATGGGGGGGGGGCTGTTTGCTGGTCTCTGTAAGCAGCCGACACCATCCGCCAAGGGTTAGGTATGGAATAGACTTACTACTTTCCTCCTGTTACGTTTTCACTCCTTGAGCCACAGCGTTGCGAAACTCAATCAGGAATTCAAAGTTTTGGGTCTGAAAACTCAATACGTAGTGAAACATCCAGGGGAAGAAATACTAGGACAGGATTGGCCTGTTTTAATCTGCCGGGTCTGAAGTTTGGAGAGGGCGATTTTGCTCTCTAGTGTTTCTTCCTGGCAGAGGTTAGTAAGACAATTTAAAAAAGGCATTTAAAGGTAAGCATTGACCTGCTTAACGTTTTCTAATAGTCCTTAATGATCCCAATAACGACGTGGAGGTCTTTAAGAATTAAACAGCAAGGTAAACTTGTTTTTAAAATACACTTTTAAAGGGGGAAACAGCAAGTTGTTTTCCTGTTACAAGAATGCCTTACCTAGTAAAAACTTCATAGGTCTAAGTTAGCTAATACATACTGTCCAAGAGAACATAATAGTGTCATTAGGGCAATTAGTGAAACAGTGTTTCTCAAACCGGTCGCTATTGAAATCACCTAGGCCCCTAGGGGTTTCCTTGAAATGCTGATTTTGATTTGGGCCAGGATGAAGCCTGAGATTCTACATTTCTAATAAACTCCAGGTGACTCAGATTATTCTGGTCAGAGCAACTCACTGCGAGTAGCCAAAGCACTAACGTGCTCGCCTCCTGGCCTCCCCGCCCCCCAACCAATAATCGTTTCCTTGCTCTTTCTTTTAACCTAATAGTGTAGGAACACGGTTAGGCAGTTGGAGTGGAGGGAGAAATCCAGGTTTCACTTCTGGCTCTGTCGCTTCCCATATGTGTGCTATTGTGTGGTTACTTAGTTTCTTCAACACAAAACTAGGCACAATAATAGCTGTTGTCCTTTCTCACAGGGTTATTGTGTCGTTTAGATGTCATAATGTATGTGAAAGGACACTGTAGACTGCAGTGGTGTATAAATGTAAGTTATTAAACTAACCAGTGAGACATTAACTGGCCATAGTGTGGGATAAATCTGTAAGCATAATAATAAAGGTAATATTTATGGAGCACATTACCAGATACTATGCTTGTTAACCCCCTTTACAAATAAAGAAACTGATGCAGAGATTAAATTACTATCTCAAGGTCACACAGCTAATAAATGGCAGAAATAGAATTTGAACCCATTGCCGTTGACTTCAGAGTATTTATTAATGGGATTTCATATTATCTCTTAATTTAGAAAGTAGGAAAGTAGGATGTTTTGTGTTTCTACTTTCAATGCTATCTGAATCTAATTTTATATGACTCATTTCCCCATCTATTTGTTTTGTTCTTTCAGAAGCCAGGCTTTAGGGGTGGTAGGAAACATTCCTACCTTGGAGAAGCCAATTTATATTACTTCATTTAAACAATCTTCAGTATGAAAGTATCATAAAACATGTTAATGCTCAGAACTAACAGCACAGAGGACTGGGACAGAGTTCTTGCATTTTTTTAGTGCTAAAAACCACTTTGGCAGTTTGGTGAAGCCATGAACTCTTCTCAGAATAATGTTTTTAAATGTATAAAATAAAACTTATACTATTATAAAAGAAAACATTTTCAAATAGTCACAAAATATATTTTTAAAAATTGATATAGGAATAAATGCTTTATTAACACATTTGTGATGGGTTTAGAAAGACCAAATTTTTGAAATGACGAATATAAATATTTCCAGAGTTTGCAACAGTTGTGATATAAAGTATCTGTGATTCTATTGGTGACACAGATATAGATTTGTTGCTTATATTCAAAATTGAAGGAAATGTGAATTTTCAGTTAGAGATTAGTAAAAATAAAGATGTAATTTTTTTCACATCTAGGTTCACATCCTGATTTCTATTCATGAACTATATGTTAAAAAAGTGTTAGGTAGAGTCAAGTAGGCTTATTCCTGTGATTCATCAAGAAAAAGCTTAAGCCCTGACTGGTTTGGCTCAGTGGATAGAGCATCGGCCTGCGAACTGAAAGGTCCCAGGTTCGGTTCCGGTCAAGGGCATGTACCTTGATTGCGGACACATCCCCAGTGGGGGGTGTGCAGGAGGCAGCTGATCGATGTTTCTCTCTCATTGATGTTTCTGACTGTCTCTCTCCCTTCCTCTCTGTAAAAAAATCAAAATATATTTTAAAAAAGAAAAAGAAAAAGCTTAATTGCCACCAGTATACTCTCCTCAAGAAGGCATGAGCCCACCTTGCGTGGCTCATTGGCTTAGCGTCTACCTATGAACCAGGAGGTTGCAGTTCGATTCCCGTCAGCGCACATGCCTGGGTTGTGGGCCCAGTCCCCAGTAGAGGGCGTGCAGGAGTCAGCCGATCAATGTTTCCTCATCATTGATGTTTCTATCTATCCCTCTCCCTTCTCTGATATCAATAAAAACTATATTTTTTTTAAAAAAAGGCATGGATGTGTGTAATAGGTTTAGGAAATAGTTTTATCCCATTGGTGTTTTTTGTTTTTTTTTTATACCTATAAAGTGCCCTTATGGAAAATTTACCTATCCAGAATGGTTCATTTCCCAAGCATTCTGGATAACTTAGATTTTACTATCTTATTCTTATTCATTATACACCTTCACAAATAAGATGTGGTGGAAGAACACAAACGGAAAATAATAAGGTTGAAAGAAATTAAAATACTGTATATTTAAAATTTTTTAAAATAAGTGTTAATAGT